TCAGATCCATGGTTTCGTAAGTGGCTCTGATACCACTAATGGAAAATTGCGATCTAAACGCAGCGGAAAACAAAATTTTCCTTTAGTGATCCTTACGAATGAGCATGGTCAGTGATAGAATCGTTACCTCTTTGTGGCGATTCAGATCTTTGATGCAGCGATCACAAGCGTTGATGAAGGGCAACGCCTCTACTCAGTCCACACGAACAGCTTCCGGTCACAGTGCTAGCTGCTTACGAACGGAATTATTTGAGTGAGAAAAGAGAATCAAAAACGAAATTGCATCAAGTGAAAGCTTCATCACAAGGGTTCCTTTTATAGACTCTCTTGTGGGCTGCGGGCTAAAAACCCAATTCACATGATCCATAATAATATTATATATTATTATAATAACTATTATTATAATAAATATATTTATTTTATTATTATTTTATAACCATTATAAAATAACAATAATTATTATTATATTATCCGAATTTCTATTTTTCACTTAAGTGCACCGTACCTTACGGTGTTCCTTTGATTTCTCTATCTCTCATCAAACTGTCCTTATGTGTGTGACCCTGTAGGATTTCGTAACGTTGGTAATTATATTAAATTATATATTTAACATAATAAACAGTAAGCGGTATCTAGCAACACATCACTGCTACCCAAGTCACGAAAATGTCATGTGATCTGACAAAACCTTTTTCGTGATAATATATGTTTGTACAATTACCCTTTTGCCCCTATGTCTATATTGAACACAAGGCATACACTGTGTCATCCTTGTCCAGTTCAATATTGGGCCCTTAGACATTTCTCCTGTTATGCAGGATTGGCAAATTCCATCTAGGACACTCATGTCCCTCAGCATGCTTCGTGGAGTGCCCATCAACTGTCTTTATGATCATCCAGTTACGGATAATGTTTGATCAGCAATAAAGCACCCGACTCTACATCTAGGGTCCATAGTGGTTTCAGGTCGAAGGGTGGTAATACACCATTATCACCATGAGAATAACTTATGATACTTTGCATAACATACTATGTAGTATTCTCATAGCGGGTCAATCCGGTATAAATATTACTCCTAATATTTATACCTATGTCAAGACTTGATAACTCTTTATCCATGATCCATGAGATGTGATCATCAGTCTATCTTCATAATAGTCTCAATGCTTTTAATGTTATCCCACTTTGCAATAAAGCTTGACTACGGATATTTTAAGAATAATGTCTTTATGTTTAATGGGATCTCATGATTAAGTCACACTTAACATTTCATTAAACAAACTAACTATTCTAGGGACTTTATTATTCTGAAAGACAAACGTAATAAAGAAATGCCTTTTATTATTAAACGAATAATCCGATACAAGTACCAAAAAGTATTGGCCTCTAGGGCTTACACCAACAATATCTACTCTTTCATTTGTATACTGTTAAAGTTTTACAAAAAAAAAATAGTACAAGCCAACAAAAAATTGAGAGATTTAAATAAAAAATTGCGAGAAATTTAAACAAAAATAACAATAACAATAATTAATACCTCTCTCACAATTGAATTCGTAAATAAATAAAAATCGTGAAAGATTTAACCACGGTTTTACTAAGAACCGTGATAAAAAGTGATATATCATACCACGGTTTTTATTTCCGACCGTGATAAAATGTGATATTTTTAACTATATAAGCGAAAGTATCTATCGTTCAATACATAATAATTGTTTCTCTCAAATTGAAACCCTAACATATTTCACTCCTCTCTCTCTCATAACATAACCGTGACACTCATGCCACTCTTTAAACTTTCTTAATCCTTCAGATTCGTCTTCACCAATCGCTATGATACTCTTTAATCATATTTCAGGTTCATTTATTAAACTTATGCTTCGATTTTGTTTATATTTCTTGTTAAAAATGAATTCTCATTTTTTTATTTGGTGAATGTTCTCATTTTTTCAGATTCGTCTTCACCACCTTAACAAAACGTATATTTTAGCCATGATACATATGGTTTGTGTAGCTATGAAGAAAAATACAAGAAGTATGAAGCTATTGTGTTAACTTCATTCACCTTGTACTTCTTCTTCATAACTTCATAAACTAGATGAAAATCATAATTTGTTTCAGGTACACAATTAGTTTAAAAAAAGATGTGTTCTTTAAACATTACATAATATCTTATGTTGATGTATGTTGTTGTTGTTGTTCTCGAACCTTATTTTTTTGTATCTTGATGTATTGTTTGATAAATGCTGTTGTATGTTGTTGTTGTTGATTAATGTTTTAAGAACAAGAACAAAACATTGCTAAGTCACAAGAAAACAACTTCTTGTGACTTAACAATGTTTTGTTCTTAAAATATTACATGATATCTTGTGTTGTTGTATGTTGTTGTATGAAGTTGAGTTTATTATATGCTATGTAGATTGTTTGCTTCACGAAACCTTCACTGAAAATATATTTTATTTAAATTGACATAAAAACCTATAATCTAAAAATTAAGTTGTATTTGAAAACCAACTTATATCAATCAACATTTTCCGAATTGCATCCGTCTCATCATTCATCTCACTCTGTTTAACATATAGAATGTGGATCAAAGATCTGGTTCCTTCAACACATTCATATCTTCTCTTATAGTTTAATTTGAATAACAACAATTTATTGATATTATTCAAATTAAACTAGAATATAAGAAATTGATGTCATGAAGGACTTAGACCATTGAACCACATTCTATATGTTAAACAGCGTGAGATGAATGATGAGATGGATGCAATTTGAAAAATAGTGGCTTGTTTAAGTTGGCTTTCAAGAATAATTTAATTTTCAGATTATATACTTATTCATTAATTTGAATGGTTCTATGTTTTTGTGAGATTTATTGAAAAATAAGCAATCTACATAGTACATAATAAACTCTAGGTACATTCAACAATCCACACCCTACGTAACAACGACGTGTCACGCGTGATGTTATCTCTTTTTCAACCGTTGGTGTATATATATATATATATATATATATATATATATATATATATATATATATATATATATATATATATATATATATATATATATATATATATATATATATATATATATATATATATATATATATATATATATATATATATATATATATATATATAGTAGTGCTATTACTTTATTTTTTGTCAAGTTGTTATCCTTGTAATTGAAATGTGTTAAAAGAACGTTCTTTTTTATAGTGTGGGTGGAGGCGTGATGATCACTATTGTGATCATGAAGATATCTTGGGACAACAATCCTCAGATGGCGTATGGTTGTTGTTGCCGCCTCCTCCTGAGTCACGAGGAGGAGAATTGCGAAGATGGTGATGACAATGATGTCTTTCAAAAAAACTCTTGCACTTTTCTTAGTTGTGACACAATATTGACGAGAGTGCCCATTGGAGCGGCTCCAGAGTGATCGTGTTGCGACATCTCTAACTGAGTTACGATATTAGAAGGGATTATTTATTTACTCTATTTGATGCGTAGAAGTTTCTCACCAAAGATAATCACGGTGTGCTATTTTACTATGTTGTAGGTATGTCATGAGTTCGTTAGAACTTGATACTCCCATCACGGCTTAGAGCACCTGAATGTTGTGTGATAGTTTCACTCATGAGGATTGAAGTGAAGGTGGAGGTGGAGGTTGGTATTAATATTATGGTGGTTTAATTGAAAACTGATGCTAGAATGAAACAATCGGAAGAAATTCTTGAGAGACTGACTAAGAAGTTAAAATCTGATGTAATGCGACAATCAACGAAGTGATTAAGATCGAAGTCTGGACATTTGGTATTGAGAAGATACTTCCACCGTGAGAATGAGAACTGGTGTTGTAGTATTTTGAAGCATCTAAAGCGCTTATCGCATACCAAGAATGTGAACAATGTTGTGTTGAGTCGTTGATCCAATTACTTTGGATCCTACAATTGTAGAATATAGCATAAAATAGTTATAATATGATTAACAATAATCAAAGAGATTATCTAAAGCGCTTAAGGTAGTTAGAACAATTATTATAAACATTTGCAATAGAGCAACAAAGAAGATAAAGTAAATTGATGAAAAATTCGTGAGCATCAAAAGATGATTCCCATAGTTCACACCATTATTCATATTGAAATAAAGAGTACGTGATAGTTCACACCATTATTCATATTGAAACAAAGAGTATGTGATATGTAAAAGATCACCATCGTGAAAAGACTTAAGATACAATGACTAAGGTATTTGCTAGTCAGAAAAAGGACATGTGCAAGGTAACACTCCAATTCTTAAATCAGTGTTTGAGAGAAGTGGAATTATACAAGTGCGAATGAGAAAAATCCTTAGTGTGATTCAAGGTGACATTTATATTTAGCTAAACAGTTATAACTGTCACTTAATGACCATACCGTTAAATGTATTCCAACAATCACTGAATGACCATACCGTTAAATGTATTCCAACAATCACTGAATGACCATACCGTTAAATGTATTCCAACAATGGAGATGAATGCGGTAATGTACTTTGTACTTCCCTATGATGAGTTATAATAATGAGTTATGCATGTGAATTTGTAAACCTTGGTAAGATATTGCAGTTTTCAAGATGATTGGAAATTTTATTCATCAAGATCTATTAGCCACCAAAATAAGCTAACTTTCAAGAAATAAGTGGTGAATAGAAAGGTTGCCATTTGAAGCCTAAAAAGAACACGTTGCTTCCCACCAAACTAATTTTCACCTTGTTTGCCATCCTAAACCTAGTTGATCAAAATATATGTATTGTATCAAACAACCCCATTGCTACAGTAAACTAAGATGCATTTCATATATTCATATAGTCAGACAAAAGGAAAAAAAACAAAATGCAGACACATTCTTACCATTATAGAGTTATTACATGATCAATTTTCATACAAACATACAAAATTGAATTGAATTTTAATAATAGTAGTAATATTCATGAAGAAGACTATACTTTCACAAGTCATGATTTTTGAGGTTCAGGCCCCAAAATACCGTTAACCACCGCTGAAGCAACCAAAACACCGAAAACCTCTGCTCCCGCCACCACACCCGCTTGCGCCAAACCCCCAAAACTCACCGCCGTCTCTATTCCCTTCTCAGTCGCCTCCAGTCCTTGTTCCGCCGTCTCAAGTCCCCTCTCCGCTGTCTCCAGTCCTTTCTCCGCACTTTCAAATCCTTCCTTCACAATCTCCTCAGCCTTTTCCTCCACTTTCTTCAGACTCTTCCGTATACCAAACAGAGGAATATCCTGCGCCAAAGACACCGATTCTTTCGCCGTCAACGCCGTTGACGCTGAGAGAAGAAACAGTAACTCCCTTCGCCCCGGTGTCGGAAACGCCGTTACAGACTTCGTAGCTTGCGCCTTGCATGTAAACGACGTCGCATTGTGAACGACGAAACGGTTACACGAGAGAGTTGGAAACGACGAGATTGCATATCCAACCATTGCTAAACCACACTGATCCTTTTCGCTTGTGGCTATTCTTCCTTCTTCTACACAATACGAAGTTTTATAATTACCATAATACCCTTTATTAATCAATGGTTTTTAAACTGACACGTGTAAAGTAATTTCGGTAACCGGTTCGGTTTATTAAATGGGTCATTCTTATCGGATTCGGTTTTCTTATTTTCATTTTTCATTTCTCACAAACCCCCCCAAACCCAAACCCTATTGAAGAAATCTCAACTTTCCTTTTCGCTCTCTCTGAAGTAAAATTTGCAGAAGATTACTATGGTTAAAGAAGCTCCTACTGCATCCGAGACTTCCGTTACAATGCCTCAAACAACGGAAACTGTAACGGTCATCGACGAAGCCCTAATTCACGACGAGCGCGACAAAAACGGAATCACTGTCAACGCTGCTGTGGAGTCCGCCGCGGCGTCGGAAACTTCTGCTCTAGCGTCCGCTAGTGACGGTCAGAAGTCTCTGGACATGGCTGTTGAGTTGATGGATAAGGGAAACAAGGCCATGAAAGAGAACGATTTTGATGAGGCAGCTGATAACTATAGCCGTGCTCTTGAGATCAGGTTCAATTTCTTTCTGCGTTAACCTAAGCTAACGAAATTATTTGTTGAGCTGCTTCTCTTTGATTTGTTTATTTCGTTGTTGATTACTATTACGATATCTTTTTTACCGGTTTAATTATTCATAAGCTTTGAATTTGATCTTTACGTTAAATGATTGAGAATTGAGTTGGTAACAATCTTACTTAGATGTTCACTTTCTCAGTGTTATATGGATTAGGCACTACTGAGTTCAAACCCAATTTTAGTCAAATTAAGTAGTTTTACCTTTCAAATTTGTAAGCATTGTGTCAAAACAAATCTACACTAAGATGCTATCTCGTTTGGTTTTCACTAGTTCCGTGCTAGGAATGGTCGACTTGCATAGCGCTGCTTGGTTGGTTGTTGACATCTTTATTCTTAAAAGAGTATCCAATTGTTCAGTGGAGGTTTTTAATTCTGCATTGTCAAGGTTCAAGAATATTAACTGATGGAATGAAATCATGTTTCTTTTTTTTTTAATATTTGAAATATGTCGGTAAGTGTTATGGATGGCATTTCATTTCAAGTTTTCAACTATGCTTAGTTATCATATTTCATAGAGATTTCAGGAAAGCCTTGGGTTGATATGAAGTATGATGTAGTTTTGAACCGAACTAATAGAAAGTTATAGTTAATTTGATACTTTCATATTTTAATCCTACCAGCAGAATTTTTATTATCGTCAAACCAACCTGATACAATTATAGGACCCATGAACTAATCAATTACACGTCCACAGAAGAACGTCTAAATATTTGCTAAGCTTCATTTTGCTCTACTCAGTACTCACAATGTTCTGAATGAGTTTTAATCAACAGAGTGGCCCATTATGGTGAACTTGCTCCTGAGTGTGTCCACACATACTACAAGTATGGCTGTGCACTGTTATACAAGGCTCAGGAGGAAGCCGATCCTTTGGGTGCTGTTCCCAAGAAGCAGGATGGGTCCCAACATGGCTCCAATAAAGAAGGACCTGTGAAGAGTGCTGTGAATGCTGAATCCTCCACTGCATCATTTCCAAGCAATGTTGAGCAGGATGTGACTTCAAATAACCAGGAGTCAGAAGTGGATAATGGTCAGTGCATTGCTTCTGGTGTTTTTTGGTTGCTTCACAAGGAATGAGAACATTTTACTAAATTTGTTCTTCAAAGCATGTATGAAATTAATGTGCTGTTGCAGTCTGCGTTATAGTGCCTTCCACTCATTATTCATTGCAAATAAGTGAAAGTATTTCACGGCATTGTTTTTAATGAAAGAGTAAATATGTGATATTTTTTATTCTCTGTTTCTGTGGGCATGAGTTACCTTGATTTATGAACTTTTCACTCAAGAAAAGGGAAAGCAAAATGTTCTTAGTTTTTATGTCCTAATCAAATTACTTTTTTAGTTTTTCTTTGATATGTGTGCATGGTTGTCACTTATTGTGGGGTTTAAAATGACTCGTGAGTCTGTGGCATGTGCCCACCAAGTCTGTGGGGTTTAAAATGACTCGTGAGTCTGTGGCATGTGCCCACCAAGTCTGTGGGGTTCAAAAGCCCGCGGTTAATGCATTGTATTCTGGAAACTTGTGAACACTACCTTCTGAATTGTAGGGACATGGATTACTTTGATTTCTGAACTGTTTAATCAAGAAATGGGAAAGTACAATGTTTTAATTTGTGTCCTAATCAGGTCACTTTTTCCTTCTCTTTGACATGTGTGCATGATTGGCGTTTATTGTGGGGTTTAAAATTACTTGTGAGTCTATGACACATGCAGACTAAGTTCGTAGCATTCAAAAGCACACGGTTAATGCATTTTATGCTGGAAAATCGTAAACACTACCTCCTGAATTGTAGGGAGTAGACACTTTGTTTCACAATGTCAACTATTCTAACCGAATTTTAATAGCTAGCAAAGATCATTGTTTGATTGTAGATTAAGTGCATTAATTTCTTACACTTTTCTGGGTAAATTTATGATTTCATATTCACATAAGTGGTAGTCTGCATAGAGAACAATTTCTCATTGTTAGTCGTGTTCTTTTGAAATGTGAAAGTGTCTGGTAAGAACGGCCAGCAAGATGATGGGGATAGTGATGCTGAAGGCTCAGCAGAAGGTGACGAAGATGAGTCTGACCTGGACTTGGCTTGGAAAATGCTTGATGTTGCTAGAGCCATTGTTGAAAAGCAATCTGTCAATACTATGGAACAAGTGGATATATTGTCAACATTGGCAGATGTTGCTTTGGAAAGAGGTATTTTCATGCTCTTATATTTATTTTAAATTTGGCCAATACTTTCTTTCCCAAACTCAGAAAAAGGGGTACAATTATTCTAAAGGTTGAATTGTTTCCGGGATCTGTTTTTTACAGAGGATTTTGAAACATCTCTCTCTGACTATAAGAAGGCACTATCCATCTTAGAACAGCTGGTGGAACCTGATGATAGAAATATTGCTGACTTGTATCCTTGTCTTAATTTTTATTTTGATGCAATATTATATTACGTATGTTTAGGCTTGGTCTTCCACTGCTAGACAACCTTAACTTGTGTAATAAGAAATTTCCGTATATGCTTGTGTTTGGAGGTTGGTTCTAGGCCTGAAGAAGCTGTTGCTTATTTAGAGAAGGCTACATCTGTTTGTAAGGCACGTTTACTTCGTCTCACAAATGAAGTGAAGAGTTCTTCAGATTCTACATCTCCTGCATCCAAGTTAGAGCGGGATGAACAAACATGTCCTGGATCTGAGTCTAATAACTCAATTGTGGATAAACAAGCAGAAATTGAAACTCTCACAGGTCTCTCAAGTGAGCTGGAAAAGAAGGTAGTCTTCATTAAAAGAACGCATGAGGCCTATTTGTGACATGTTATTTTGATATAACTGTGAATATATGGAATTGCAGCTTAAAAAAGTTGCTGAGACCTTTTTGTCATATGTTATTTTGATATAACTGAATATTTGGAATTGCAGCTTGATGATCTGCAACAGTTAATCTCAAACCCAAAATCAATTCTCGCTGAGATCCTAGGACTAGCAGCTGCCAAGGCAGGGAATGGAAAGGAACCATCTCCAGGAAAAGTGAGCTCCACACAATTGGCTACTGCCCACAGCGGTGGAGGTTTTGACTCCCCAACCTTTTCAACCGCTCACACCAATGGATCTGCTGGAGTCACACACCTTGGTGTGGTAGGAAGAGGAGTTAAGCGATCATCAAATGCAAGTGTGGCAGAAGCAGGCATACCAAAGAAACCAGCATTAGAAACAACCAAAGACAAAGGCGATGGTGGCAATGCATAATGTATAATGGTCTCAGCTCTTTTGTATGAAGTGCACTATCTGAACACTGAATGCTACAGTTTGGTGACTCTTTGAATTATGGATCGGATAAATTCTTGCAAGTTCCATGATTGACTGATTTCAGGAAAGGGTTGTCATATTTTTTATTACTGTAGGTTGATGTGCAGCTAACTGATTCCGTCACATGTTTCTAAAGACTGAAATGTAACACCCTCAAAAACTTGTAATCACTGTCCATTTTATGCATGTTCCATAAGGGTTTTTTTGGTGAAAAAAGAAAAAAAGGGAGGGATTGAAAAAAAATTTAAACGGAGGAAAGCGGGAAAACGAAGGGAGTTAAGGGATTTTAAAATGTTACGTTTGGTTCAATAAGAGGAAAGAATAAATTTTAATGGCGGAAAAATGTAAAATTACATTTTTGATTTGGATAAAGTTTCATTAAAATATGGGAGTATTCAGTATAAATTTAAGCGAATTCTCTACTCCAAGTTCCCCTTTTGGAGGGGAACTAAAATGACCTCAATAGATTTTGCTCCCTTTATTTTGAGGGAAAAAAACTCTAATTACTGAAATTTAAAATAATTCCCCTCCTTCTCTATTTCTCTTCATTTTCCTTCAACCAAACAAATATTTACATTGTTTGGAATGAGTCACTCAAAATACTGATTGGGACCTGAAAGAAAGTAAAAAATTCGAAGTTTTTTCCTAGCATTAAAGCTATCGCCCAATTTGAGGCCTAAATCACTCTTTCATTTTCCTTCTTCACATCAATAACACAAACCAAAAGAAAAGGAAAAAAAAAGTAGAAACGAGAAAAAAAGAAGAAGTAGAAACGAGAAAAGAACACAACTGAAAGAAAAGAAAAAGAAGTAGGAATAGAAAATAGAAAGTTTTTTTAAGGCATAATTAGTTCCCAAGTCTTGTAAATTATTTATGAGCTGTGATGTAGTCCTTTAATAAAACAATGATTCGATTTGGTTCTGTAATGTTATTTTCGTTAACATGTTTGATCTATTCCGTTCATTCATGTGTTAGACTGTAGTTATTGTCAGGGTGACGTTTGAACTGTATGTCTGGTCATCAAATGAATAATTGATTTAGTTTTTAAAGGGTTAAATG